CAGTGATATTCTTGCAATGATTGTTATAAATTTCATTACTTGTCTTCGATAAATGATGGATGGGATGATGATACAGGATGGCACAAATGAGCAGCCGGGTATTGTTCCTCGAGTTCTTGAAGAGCTATTTCGTCAACAATCTTTGGATAAGTCATGTTCTTTAACATTTTCAATGAGTATTTTGGAGGTTTATAAGGGGAATTTGAAAGATCTACTTGCTCCAAGATCAGCACTTAGAGCATATGAAGTTGTATCAAAATGGTAATTATCCAAGAATCATTATAAATCCAATGTTTTTCTGACATATAGCTTTATAAAGCATTGCTAATTGTGTATTGTCCTTTTGGCTGACTCAACCTACAGCAATCTGAGCATTCAAACAGATTCAAAGGGATGTGTAGAAATCGAGGGTCTGACAGAAATTGAAATCCCGGATCTTGCAAAAGCGAAATGGTGCTACAACAAGGGAAGAAAGACGCGGTCCACCTCATGGACTAATGTAAATGAGGCATCTAGCAGGTCACACTGGTGGGTTTTCGATCTGAGTTTTATTTGTTCTTGACAAGTTTATTTGGCAAAGATAGTTACATTATCTGTTTAGTTTCATATATCTAGTTTAACGAGGATCACCATTTCTCGAAATGGGAATACTCCGGATTCTAGACCACGAGCTAGCAAACTCTGGATGGTTGATCTCGGAGGAAGCGAAAGATTACTGAAAACAGGAGCAACCGGACAAACACTCGATGAGGGACGGGCCATAAATCTGTCTCTTTCTGCTTTAGGAGATGTTATTGCAACTCTAAGAAAGAAAAAGGGTCATGTGCCTTACAGGCAAGTTCTGTGTTGCTTGCTGTCAGAATTGCACTGTTGATGCTTCGCTTCTTTCCTACTCATCTCGCTAAAGATCAACTTTTGCTTCTTTGGTTGCAGAAATAGCAAGCTTACTCAAATCCTCAAGGATTCCCTAGGTATATAACACTAGACATTTGTCTTTTTAAAGTAATACCATGTTCGGACCCGATTCATAAATTACATATAATTCATTTGTAAATTGCACTTAGATCGACTTGAAGATGGTGAATATCGTTTATAGATAGTAAAAGTTAATCTCAAATTGAAATGAAAGATCACTGAATTTACAAATGAATTCTGTTCAATTTTAGATTGGTTTCGAACATGATCGAGTGTAGCAATTACCC